GTTTGACAACTAAGTAAGTAGAATAAATAACTTTAAACTTTAACACAGGCTCTGATAGGCCGGGATCGAGATCGGATTGGAAGTGGAAATAGCTGGATCTGGATCTCTACAGCTAAGCTCCGAGCCGCTTTTATTTCGGAGGCATAAACCCGGGGGCTTTCTCACCTTGATGAACTCCTCCAGCTTGGAGCTGTCCTTGAGTTTGGTGTAGCAGTTCAGGAGCAGCGTGGTGTGGTCGGCGTTGGCCAGCGACTGCCGGTGCAACGCCTGCAGGTACGCCGTCAGGTTGTGGATCCTCTGCGCGTCCAGGAACTTACGGATCACGTACGAGGGCTCCAGCTTTCCGATGGTGCTGCGGGAAAACCGCACAAAACGACCATTTTTCAACCAGCAGAACCACAGACTTTCCTCCACTTTTGGGAGATTTAGAGTTTATATCCTCAGATAATCACTTCTATAAATAACTCAAGGGATGAGCCAGTGTTGTGTCCAACTTAAACAATTTCAAATGGACCTCTAAACCCTTTTTACCTAATTTTCAGGCCTTGAACCTCATTATTTTCGGAGGATTTTTATCTTCGTTTTCATTAAGGTAGGAAAAGGCCCCTAACTCAAGGGATGAGCCAGCGCTGTGTCCAATTTAAGCAGTTTAAAGTGGATCTTCAGGCTCTTTTTTCCTCATTCTCAGGCCTTGAACCTCATTATTTTTTGGAGGAATGTTTTTTTAAATTTGTTAAACAACTTAAATCTGAGTGAATAAAGGCCCCTAACTCAAGGGATGAGCCAACGTTGTGTCCAACTTAACCACTCGCCTCCACTTTTGCAGCTTTGGGAGATTTAGAGTTTATATTCACAGATAATCACTTCTATCCATAAATAACTCAAGGGATGAGCTAACGTCGTGTCCAACTTAAGCAGTTTAAAATGGATCTTTAAACCCTATTTACCTAATTTTCAGGCCAGGGACCTCATTATTTTCAGAGTTTTCTTTTTTCCATTCAGGTCCCTAACTCAAAGGATGAGCCAGCATCATGTCCAAGGCTCTTTTTTCCTCATTTTCAGGCCTTGAACCTCATTATTTTTTAGAGGAATGTTTTTTTTTCTTTCCTAAACCGCTAAACTCTGAATAATTAATGCTGAAAAAGTTTTTAAGCAGTTTAAAGTGGATCTTTAGGCTCTTTTTACCTCATTTTCAGGCCTTGGACATCATTATTTTCATTGTTTTTTTTCTTTCTTTTTTTCCCATTCAGGTAGGAAAAGGCCCCTAACTCAAGGGATGAGCCAACGTTGTGTCCAACTTAACCACTCGCCTCCACTTTTGCAGTTTTGGGAGATTTGGAGTTTATATCCACAGATAATCCACTTCTATCCATAAATAACTCAAAGGATGAGCTAACGTCGTGTCCAACTTAAGCAATATAAAATGGATCTTTAAACCCTTTTTACCTCATTTTCAGGCCTTGAACCTCATTAGTATATATTACTATTCATTTATAATGATTAGTAATATATGTTGGCGGGAGGAATTACCGGATGTACTGCTGGATGGCGCCGTCGTGGTCCCCTTTGAGGTAAAGGTGGTCGCCATAGTGACGGAATATCTCCGAGAGCCCGTCGCTGTCCAGGTGCTGGCTCTTGGCCAGGTTTATGGCCATCACAAACAGGTTCTTTTTGAACAGCATCTACGCGAAGAAATAACAAGAATTCAAGAATAAGTCTTATTTTTTTAAACATCAATACATTTCACTATTATTTGTTTACTGTCTGAGCTTTCCCCCCGATTTTAGCTAGGTGCTAAATACATTTATGGTTTAATCTTTAAATATCTTTTCTATCCATTAGAGAAGAGGTCCCAAACCCCCGGACGCCCGAGTAATAATCAATTGTTTCCGTTGTATTTGTTCTCCGAGTCTGAATAATCTTTTATTTTGTAAAATCTTTTATTTTGAAAAATGACCAGATTCTCTCGGTCACTTGAGCGCCCAAAATTTAACCCACAAGTAAGAAAATTAAGTAAGAAAACAGACTTCTATGGAAAGTTTCCTTTTGAAGGGAAAAAGGAAAACAAGAAAATAAAAGCATGTAACGATAAAAATGGAAACAAAATAAAAGCACATAACGATAAAAACGTAAACAACAAAAACAACAAGAAAATAAAAGCATGTGACGCTAAAAACGTAAATAACGAGAAAATAAAAGCATGTTTCGATGAAAACGTAAACAACAAAACCAAAGCACGTAACGCTAAAAACGTAAACAACAAAATAAAAGCATGTAACGATAAAAACGGAAACAACAAAAACAACAAGAAAATAAAAGCATGTTTCGATGAAAACGTAAACAACTAAACAAAAGCACGTAACGCTAAAAACGTAAACAAAATAGAAGCATGTAACAATGAAAACGGAAACGACAAAAACAACAAGAAAATAAAAGCATGTGACGCTAAAAACGTAAAAAACAAAAACAACGAGAAAATAAAAGCAAGTTTTGATGAAAACGTAAACAACAAAACCAAAGCACGTAACGCTAAAAACGTAAACAACAAAATAAAGGCATGTAACGATAAAAACGGAAACAAAATAAAAGCATGTAACGATAAAAACGTAAACAACAAAATAAAAACAAAAAAATAAAAGCATGTAACGATAAAAACTATAACAAATTAAAAAGAGCAAAATAAAAGCATGTATCGATGAAAACGTAAACAACAAAACAAAAACAACAAAATAAAAGCATGTAACAATAAAAACGGAAACTGCAAAATAAAAATAAAATAGAAGCATCTAACCATAAAAACGTAAAAAACAAAATAAAAGCATGTAACGCTAAAAACGGAAAGAAAAAAAAGCATGTATAAATAAAATGGACACAACTAAATAAAAGCATGTAACAATAAAGTTGGAAACAAAATAAAAACAAAATAAAAGCATCTAACGCAAAAAACAGAAACATCAAAATAAAAGCATGTAACAATAAAAACGGAAACGACAAAATAAAAGCCCACGAGCTGCCATAAGGCCACTAAAACCCCTTTTTTAGAGTTCGTCCCACCCCGCCCGGCTTGCTTTTATTTTGTTGTTTCCACTTTTCTTATGACATGCTTTTATTTTTACCCACCTCCAGCTTGGTCTGCGTGTCCCTCTCCTGCAGGGCGGCCATTTTCCCGTCCCGGGTCAGGACGTAGAACGAGCCCCACTCCGCCACGACGTCCATCACGTCCTCGAACCCGCAGCTGTAGGCCACGAACTTGTTCTCCAGGTCGTACACGGTCAGAAGCTGCCGCTCCGAGGGGGACGCCTCCCCGCCGAACCCGGATCTGGG